AGAGAATTTGGCTGTTAGGAGCCAAAAAGGAAGGAAAGAAAGAAGGAAAAATAAGGAAACAAACAAAAATGAAATAAACCAAAAACCCTAATCCTCAAAAGACAAGGCAAGTAAAAACAATTATTGTAAAAAAAGCTAAAATTGAGTGAAAAGAAATGTAGGGTTGTGTCAGCACAACAAGAACACCAAAAAAAATGAATGAATAAGGAAAAAATGTTCTTAATGAAAAATGAAAGTATCATCTCCACTGAGATGGTCAAAACAGTCAACAAGAATGGATGGTCACTACCCATTCCTGACTGTCCTTTTTTTCCCATTTCTTCTTGGGCTATGTACTGAGGGGAGTGGGGAAGGGGAGTGCACCAAGGGCTGGGGTTTGTTAACCCCTTCCTCTTTTGTTGTTGCTTACTTATCTTCCAGTTGGGGTAGCCCTAACCTGAAGTTGATTGAAATAACTCTCAGCCTCCCTTCTCACCAAGATAAGATAGAACAGAATAGGAAATACTGTTAATAGGAGTTTTGTCTGCACAGACCAAATTGATGCCCACCCAGGGTTGGGCTGCTGCAGAGTTCTGTGAGGGGAGTTCCAGTGGCTGGCACTTAGTCTAATCAGGTCTTAGGGAATTTGTTGGGTGAAATGTGCTCTGGAGAAAGTAGAATAACATCACAATTCAGACCAGGCAAATTCTGATTTCTGTTGGATTCTGGATTCAGGAGCCTCCCAAGAATTCTACTCTCAGGGAAGGAGACCCAATACTCCATACATTATTTCCCACAAGTGTAGCCTTCTCAGGCTTAGTTTTTGGATGTATTCTCCCATTTGTTCATTTTCCTAACCCTCTTCAGCTGGTCATATAAGCCACGAGACTCAAAGGTAAAGTGAATTGTACTCCATTTTTTCATTTTTTCTGGATACTATCCACATTATGCCTGTTTCAGTCATGCTCTGCTAGACACACACTAGACCACAATTCAAGTTCTTGACAGAGCTGTATTGCAATGTTTGCTATAATTTCCTGGGATTCTGCAGCAGCAAAATCCAGCATGACCTCTTCGAGAGGACTCCTTCCTCAACTCTCTGCTTGCCAGTTGGGAAATACAGAGCATTTTTCAAACACGAGTTTTCTCTGCAGCCTCTGGGTCAGCTAAATTTAGCTTGCTTTTCTGATCACCATGCTTTCCTGTGCCATCTGTTGTTGTGTTTCTTTCTCTGTGTCATCCCTACTATCTGTGGTGAACCAGTGTCACTGCCATTGCTGCAGCTGCCTTGGCTCCAAATATTCTTTCTTATTCTTCATTTGATGCACCCAAATTTCTTAGTCTCTAAGATACTGTGATATTGAATTTAGTGAAATCATTCTTTTACCCACCTCACTGAAAAGCAGTTCTCCTGCTGCTTAAATCTGGAGGCATAGAGTAATTTAAGCCACCTTCTAATCTGCTGTCTTGAATCTCCTCTCTCAAGTTGATGGTTTGGGAAAAAAAATTTATTTGGCAATATACTCTAATGGTCAAGACAGGAAACTAAGAGAGAAGAAGTCATGGATCTAAGAAAACAGTGGCCCCAACCTGGAATTCCAGTGAGGAGAAATCCCAGAGTCAGCTACGTAGAAGATTTTGGTGGTAGAAAGTGCTCCAGATTATATTATTAGGCAAGAATATTTTTTCCACACTTTAAAACAGTGCATTATATTTGTATATAGTGATGGGATTTCTTTCATTCCTCTGTCTAATCCAATAAACTTCTATTCTTCCCTCTTATCCCACCCTCCATTGTATGCTAGCATCCACATAACAGAGAGAAAATTCAGCCTTTAGGTTCTTGGGACTAGCTTATTTCATTTAGCATGATAGTCTCCAGTTCCATCCATTTACCAGAAAATGCCATAATTTCATTCTCCTTTATGGATGAGTAATATTCCATTGTGTATATATACCACATTTTCTTTATCCATTCATCTGTTGAAGGGCACCTTGGTTGGTTCCATAGCTCAGCTATTGTGAATTCAGCTGCAGTATACTTGTTGTAGCTGCATCACTGTATGCCGATTTTAAGTTCTTTGGGTATATATATTGAGGAATGGGATAGTAACTAGGTCAAATAGTGGTCCCATTTCAAGTTTTCCAAGTAATCTCCATACTGCTTTCCATAGTAGTTGCACCAGTTTGCAGTTCCACCAGCCTGTATGAGAGAACCTTTTCCCCCAAAGCTTCACCAACACTATTGTCTCTTGTATTCTTGATAATTGCCATTCTGGCTAGCAGTGTAGTTTTAATTTGCATTTCTGTATTTACTACAGATGTTGAACATTTTTTCCCACTATTTGTTGGCCATTCATATTTATTCTTCTGTGAAGTGCCTGTTCAGTTCTCTTTCCCACTTATTGATAGAGTTATTTATTTATTTATTGGTGTTAAGTTTTTTTGAGTTCTTTTTATATCCTGGAGATTAATGCTGTATCTGAGGTGAAAGTGGCAAAGATTTTCTCCCATTCTTTAGGCTGTCTGTTCATGTTCTTGATTGTTTTCTTTGCAGTGAAGAAACTTTTCAGTTTGATATCATAACATGTATTGATTCTGGTTTTTAAAGATTTTTTAAGTTTATAGATGAACACAATACCTTTATTTTATTTATTTTTATGTGGTGCTGGGAATCCAACCCAGTGCCTCACACATTCTAAGCAAGCACTCTACCAGTGAGCTATAACCCCAGCACCACCATGTATTGATCCTTGATTTTACTTCTTGCCCTTTAGGAGTCTTATTGAGGAAGTCAATATGTAAACCAACATAATGATGGTTGGGCCTACATTTTCTTCTAGTAGGCTCAGGGTCTATGGTCTAATGCCTAGGTCCTTGTCCACTTTGAGTTGAGTTTTATGCAGGGTAAGAGATAGGGATTCAATTTCATTTTGCTACATATGGATTTCCAGTTTTCCCAGCACCATTTGTTGAAGAGTCTATCTTTTCTTCAATGTATGTTTATGGTGCCTTTGTCTAATATGAGAAGACTGTATACATGTGGTTTTGTCTCTGTGACTTCTATTCTGTTCCATTGATTTTCATGTCTATTTTGGTGCCAATGCCATGCCATTTTTGTTACTATAGCTCTGTAGTATAACTTAAGGTCTAGTATTGTGATGCCTTCTGCTTCACTTTTCTTGCTGAGGATTTCTTTGGCTATTCTGAGCCTCTTATTTTTCCAAATGAATTTCATGACTGCCTTTTCTATTTCTATGAAGAATGTCATTGGGATTTTAATAGAAAATGCATTAAATCTGTATAAAGCTTTTGGGAGTATGGCCATTTTGACTATTTTAATTCTGCCTATCCAAGAACATATGAGATCTTTAAATCTTTAAAGTTTTCTTCAATTTCTTTCTTTAGTATTTTGTAGTTTAGTTTTCTTGATGACTGCCATTCTGACTGGTGTGAGATTTTTTTGTTTGGTGTGCAGAAACTTTTTAATTTGATGCCATCCCGTTTATTAACCCTTGGCATTATTTCCTGAGCTTTAGGAGTCTTATTAATAAAGTTGTTGCTTGTGCTTATATGCTGGAGTGTTAACCCTACATTTTCTTCTAGGAGTTTCTTCTGTTCTAATTCATAGCTCTTTGGTCCATTTTGAGTTGATTTTTGTCAGGCATGACTATTTCTAGTTCATAAGAAATGAAAAGTGGTATTGAAAGACAGAAAATTTTTTTCTTATGGCAAGGTTACATTATCTTATCCTCAACAATAAAAAAAAAGTAGGAGAATTAGAAAATTCAAGGAAAAAACTGTACAGGAAAGTCATGGTTCTAATATGAAGCAAAACTGACATATGGCATAATTTTAAGGAACTTAAAAAATGTAAATGATGTTCTTAATGCTGACTAGAAACACTGTAGAGATATTTTTCCTTTGAGAATCTCAATAATCATATTAGATATATGATTTTGCATATGTAACAATATTTATATAGTGATAGTAATTTAAACACCAATTACTTAACCTATATAAAAGAGAGTATATAAAGAGTTATAAGGATAATATTTATTAATTCATAGAAATACTAATCAAAACACCACTAGCAAACACTGAGAGAATAAGGATAGGTAAAACTAAAGAATAATTTCAAGATAGTCAATTGACATAATCTAGAGTTAGTATGAATATGCATAATATATGTTGTAATTTTGATTGCCCACTGTCTGATTCTGCTTCCTATGTTTTCTGCTGTCAATGCTGAAAATGCCAGTGCTTGTTTTCCTAGCTTCCTCTGCACTTAGGACATAGGGATATGACCTAGGATCAGCCTATTGCTGCCTAGAAGTTAATGACATAATGAGACAGAAATAATGAAGAATCCATTCAAGTCATGGTGGCAGAAATACACAGTGTCTTGTGGCAGCAGTGGCAGTGATGGTACTGGTGACATCAAGTAACACTGACATTGCAAGATAAGGCTTGCAGGTTCAACAGTGGCAGTGATGGCACTGTGCCCTCATCAGGCTCTGTGAACTAAAATTGGCTATAGTCTGGCTATCAAATTTCACCTTACTCCTATCCACATTCAGAGATGAATTATTCTCTATGCTTCTTGGCAATTATGTAAGTTACTCGATGTAATTCCTTTTCCACTTAAATCAGCCAGTTAGTTCCTTTTGCTAGTAAGAAAAAATTCTGATTAGACTACTAGTAAATCAAGGAATAAAAGTATAAGCATATTACTTGAGAATAAAAATCCCTAATGTCAATGGTGATTAGCATGTGCACTCATCTACACAGTAATAGACTATTTGTTTATTTGTATTGCCCAATATAAAACAAGTTCCTTGACTGAAGAAATATTTACCATTATTATCATTACTTCCTGCCATATTTACCATTATGTCTGGCACATATTAGGTAGGCTCAATAAATATTAGTCAAATAAACAAATTATGAAGGAGGTTTAATTAATTTTTTAAAATGACTTAAGTTATATATGCAAAAACCTTAACAGGGTGGTAAACAACCTTCATTGCTTGAATCTGTCTGGCATCCTGAGGAAGATGATGCACGAGGAAACAATTCATTATCTGAAGAATCATATTTCACTGATTTATACTGAGATTCATGGTGTTTTGGATTTTGCTTTTTTTCTTTCTTTTGTTTGTTTTTACCTTAGGGAGATAAATTTGGAATGTAATTATTTTTTCAAATATAAAGAACAAATGAAAAACAAATAATTTATAAAAAGTATTTATAAAAAGTATTCAAAATCACTCAAAAGATTTTAAAGCAAGTACAAACTTCTACTTTCACACTGTCCAGCCCCAGCATCTTCAGGACTTCTTTGTGTGAACTTATGCTCCATGTCTGTGAAATCTGTCTGCCATGTCTACAAAATTAAGATATTGACAAGGTATTAGAGAATTTTAGAAGCAAAATGATGTTTCTTGAGAAAGAACATATAAGTGGAATCAACCTCAGCAATATTAATATTTTTGAGCTTTATTCTCAAATAAACCATTTATTCTATATTTTGAAGGGCTTTTAGCATATAGCCACATGTGGGTAAAGATCCCTCTATTCACTACATGTCAGGAGCACCCTTTAAATTTGACAACCTCAAATGGCTCCAGACATTTATTATTTTCCCTCAGAGGGCAACCACTGTTAAGAACAACAATCCCATCAGGAGCCACTAGACTAGAGTAGCAGTGACAGAAATTGAAAGAAGAGGATAAATGTAAGCATCAGAGTAATGAGGGATTGTATATAAAAACTGAGGGAAAGGAGAAAAAGGGTGACTTCTAAGTTTTTGGCATGAGCACTTCAGATAGAAAATATGACCATTAACAGATCTATGGAAACAATAAAGAGGAATAGGTTTGGAATATATTCTAAGAAAACATAGAATAGATTTTTAAAAAATCATGCCTAAATAGAAATTTAGTAGATGCTAACAAACTCTTCAAGTAAATATATATCTCATGTTAACAAAGATTATTTGATGGAGAAAAGAACCTGAAAGTATAAATTTGTGTTTATTTAGCAGAGTATTGAAAACCACAAAACTGAATGATATCACAAAAGAAACCATATAATGGAGTGCTAAATCTTCATCTTTCATAACTAAAGTCAAAAGATGTCTGAAGTAGATAATATCTGAATTAGGAACCATAAATATAAACATATTACTTAAAATATACAAGTACACCATCAGAAAGAACTAAAAGAATCGAAGGGAACTGCCCATGGAGATTTTGGTGGAGTACTGCACTACATTTGGGGGTGTTTTAATTATGATTAAATACTGTAAATATTAATTTGACAAACTTTTTTGCATGTGCCACTGCACCCGGCTGACAAAAAATTTAAAGTATTAAATAAATCTCCCCCTTCAAAACATACAAAGAATAAATGGGGTTGCTCATCCAAGACACTGGATTTCCTTCCTAAACTTCATATTAAAACAATAATTGAGGAATAAAAATTAAGAAACGCAAAATAGGAAAAATAAAAGGATTCAAGCAGGAAATGTCATTTAACAAATGTCTGAAAATAGAAAATAAATGTGTGTTGACATAAGAAACTGAGTGGGATACTGGGATACTTGGGACATTACCCTGGGAGTGACTCCATCTAGCAGAAACTAGAAGAGGTTCTAATTGTTCTAATTGATCAAGGGAGACCATGAAGGATGGGTAGGAAGATCTGTTTAACATACAGCCCAGTGATTACTCCCAGGCAAAAATTCCAAAAACTGTTGAAGGAAATCTGATTAAAAGTGGGAAATTCTGGGGCACTAAGGGTAAGTTTTGATATCTTGTTTTGTATTGGACCTTTAATGAAATAGCCAGTTACTGCCACCTTGCCTTAATAATATTAAATATGTATTTGCAATATGCCAGGCAATGTTCTAAGAATGGTATAGGAAATCTCCATTTACCCCAAAACAATAAACAACATATCATTCCATTTTTGAAATGACACAGAGTGGCTGATTAACCTACCCACATAAGGCTAGTTTTAATTTCCCTAATGACTAATAATATTGAACATCTTTTCCTGTTCTTATTTACTAAATTTTTGTCATCTGTAGTGGGGTGTCTATAAACTTTTGCCCATTTTAAATTTTATTAGATTTTGAAAATTATATATTTTGGATATAAGTCCTTTGTCAATTATGTGATTTGCAAGTATTTTCCCAGTATGACTTGTCTTTCATTTTCTTTCCTTTATATAGCAAAAGATTTTAATTTTGATGAACTTCAATTTATTGATATTTTTCCTTATTGATAGTAATTTTAATGTTGTATCTAGGAGGTTTTTGCCTGACTCAGTCATGAAGATTTTCTCCTGTTTTTTTTTCCCAAGAGCTTTATGGTTTTAAAATCAAGTCATATGAACTAATATACAGAAATCTGTTCATGGCACTATGTGCTTAAAACATGCATAGATTCCTGACTATGATTCAGGCCCTTGATTTTTTTTCAAGAATTGTTTTGTTAATCTACTTCCTTTCCCTTTACTTATAAACTTTATATTCAACAAATCTATACCTACAAAAATCTTGCTGGGAATTTACTTGTCATTGCTTTAAATGCACAGGTCAATTTAGGGAATACTGACATTTACTTACATTTAATTTTCCAGTCTATGAACACAGAATGGGTCTTCTTTTTTTTTTTATTAGTGTTTTGCATTTTAAAATGTATGAGTCCTGAGTATATATTAGCAGGTTTCTACCTAAGTATTTCATTTGTGGGTGAGGAGAGTGGGCCAGTGTTCAACTGCTCATTGCTAGAATAACTATATGATAGACTCATTTGTTTTATCTTATATTCTGCAATCTGCTAAATTCACTTATTAGTTTAAAGAGCATGCTTATAGATTTACGTATATAGACAATTATTATCTGAAAACATGGACAATCTTATTTTTTTTAATTTTCCATTCAGAATGCCCTTTCTCCCCTTTTCTTGCTTTGCTAAGACCTTCAGTAAGATATTGAATAGATGTGGTGAAAATAGACATCCTTGCCCACTCCCAATTTTGGGGAGTGGAGAATATCCAGTTTTTCACCATTAAATATAATGCTAATTATAGGCGTTGTGGTTGGCTTTTATTAGGTTTCTTTCTAGTCTATCAGGTTCCTAATTAGTTTGCAAAGTTTTAGAACATATATTGAATTTTGTCAAGTGCTCTTTCTGCATCTATTGCTGGAATCTTGTAGTTTTGGTTCAGTCTGTTAATATAGTGGATTATGCCAAATGATTTTCAAGTATTGTTTCAGCTCTGAATTCCTGGGATAAGTGACACTTGGTTGAAATGTATTTTTTTTAATATTTTTACTTTATTTATTTAGTATTATGTGGTGCTGAGGCTCGAATCCAGTGCTTCACACATGCTAGGCAAGTACTCTATTACTGAGCCACAACCCCAGCCCTAGTGTATTATTTTAAATTTTTTTTATCCATTTGGTCATATTTTTGAGAATTTTGAGTCTGTTCAATCGGAAGTTTGATTTATACTTTTATTTTTTGTTTTATCTTTATCTGGTTTTGGTGTCAGGATATACTGGCTTTATAATATGAATTGAGAAGTCCTTCTTCCTGTCCTAAATTCTGGAAGAGCTTGCATAGAACTGGTAATATTTTGCCCTTAAATGTTGGGTTAAATTAGCTGGTAAAACCATCTGGGCCTGAAATTTTTCCTTTTTTTTTTTTTCCTTTACTTTTAAACACAGTTCTATTTCTTAAATAATCAAAAGACTATTCATCGTATCTTTTTGTTCTTGGGTAAATTTTGGAAGTTTTGACAGCGTTCCATCTCACCCAAGTTATCAAATTTATGAGTATAGAGTTGTTTATAGTATTCTCTTGCCCTTTTTAATGTCTACTGGGTCAGTAGTAATGCCCCCTCTTTAGAAATGACCTAGTACAAAAAAAAAAAAAAAACCTGAAGACAAAAATGGAGGACATAACTGTGCCTCAAACCTTGTTATTTCTTTCTCTTTCAGTTCCATACCCAGTCAGATACCAAGTTGTTTTGATTTGCCCTTGCCATTATTTCTTGTTAATTTACCCTCATTCCCAATGCTCCGTGGCACAATATCCTACCTAAACTATGCCACCTGCCACCTAACTAATCTCACTGCCTCTTATTTTAATGAACCCGTCATACTAGTGCTGGGTCCACCTTTTTGTATCTCCAATGGTTTTGCACTGCCTACAGGATAAAGGTCTTCCACATCTGGCTTACTTAGTTCTGTCTTTTGAGGTATAGTATTCTATTTCCCTAAACTGGGGGTTTTAAAAACATTTGGGGGAAGATTCATGAATCTCCTAAAATTGAGTACAAAATGTTATATGAATGTGAATTTTATTTCTATCTTTATTAGACGTTCAAAATAAGAACATGTGCAACAAATTTTTCAAACTAAATCTTTGTCTATCAATCCACTATGCTTCCCAACTGTTTCCACATCAGTGAAGAATGATCACTCCTTTGTCTGAACTTAGATTTACAATATTTTAGTGATCTAACCTATCCTTAACACTTCATACACGAGGAGATGCAAAATATTACTAAATTTAGAGTTTAGATATCCGATAAAAAGGAACACTTGAGGGCCTATGTGAAGAGAGAGTTGTGGGCAGGGGGTTCTTAGACAGAAGCCAGGTACCTATAAATGTTGAGTCTAGACAGCATTCAGAAACAATTCTTCAGGAGAAGCAAATAAAAGATAGGCAGGGAGATCAACAGTATTTGGGAAAGAGAAAGGAGTAGTAATGGAGTCAACTTTTCAACTCTACTACATCTAAACTATGATACCTTGGGCAAATTATTGACTTTTTCTGTGCCTCAATTTTCTCATTAGGATCGTTGATTAAATAATGTGCGTGTAAAGGTTTTAGGTTAGGTCCCTTACTCCTAAAACATTGTTTTGTCAACTGTTGTCACGTAAGAGAAGGCTTTCAGGCTGTAGCTCAGTAGGTAGAGTGCTTGCCTCGCATGCACAGGGCCCTGGGTTAATCACTAGCACCACCACCCGCCCCCACCCCCCCAAAAAAAAGATTGAAAGAGAAGGTTTTCAGTAAGGGAGGGAGTGGGGGCTGAGAGAGATGGTCCTTTGTGGGAATGCCGTCAGCGGGTAGGGTTTTGCAACAGGATATATTCCCAAAGAACGAGGTGGTGGGGGTGGGGGGTGTACTGGGGGCGGGGAATCCTCACAATAGGAGGAACTCTCAAGTGTCATAACAAGAACACAACCTCTAGAATAGAAGTCGGCAAAGACTCAAGATAAGTGCTATGAGCGCTTAGGACAAAGGACACCTCTGGGGACCCGTCGGTGGGGTGGGTAAAGGGCAGTCCAGAGAGTAATCGAGGGGCCAGGG